TGTGTGGTCGTATTTCTGTAGTAGAGGCGGTCCCAGTGACACAGGTGGACTCTTAGACATTTTATACATAGACGCCTTGTCTCTACCTGATCTGTCCCGGAAGCACCATCCGTCTGCGCATCCGCGAACAGATATACATCCTGGTGTCCATGAATAATGTAATTATGGTTCTAAAACTACTTATTTCCGTCCTTAACTTACTAAATAATGCTAATACACATCTTTAAAAACTGTTCTATGACTTTTGTCTTATGCTTTTGACATTTTCTTCGTTAAACTGCTTCTTTGACATCATCATCAGACATGCGCAGAGGAGTCCGGCAAAATATGATAAGGCTTTCTGTGCTTAGAAGTTTGTCTAAACTTCTTCAAAAACTCTTTTTCAGATTATGTTTTCTTTTTTTTAATCATTATTTAGGCATATGTGAACATTTGTTCTTTAATCAGTTAATTTGTGTCATAAATATATATATATATTTTTTAGAATTTGTTCTTTTCAGTGGTTGCTATATGTAAGAGATTATGGTAAAATTATCCCTGACTTGTCTTTCATGTAATTGTAGTCGGGTGGTTTATTAGCTGAAAACACTGTTTACATACAATAGCTATAAATTCCCACCCGTTTTGGGCCCTTGAATGTCTCAATGCCCCGTTTTCCCCACCTTCACTTCTGTTTTACAGCGTTGTTGTTCTCTTTAGCGTATATAGGCAGCAGGTTTACCCGGCAAGCTAGCAGAGTCAGGTCCATTGTGGTGTGCGGTTGGATCTCTGTTGGATGAGCGTTGGCGCCGCGCTCGTTGGGCTAGAGGATCATGACTTGGATTCTGAATTTCGGGGGGTTTTCACTGCAGCACTGAATGTAACTGGTTGTGTGGCTGATTAAGATTTCTGATGTTGCATATTATGCTCTCACCTAGGTGTGTTTTTTTTTAGATGCTCTTGGTAAACTGGCTAATAGGTTTTCTATAGAGCTGGGGTTTTAGGACAAGCTGCTCTACAGCTCTACAGGACTGGTTTGATGCAATGTGAGATTCGTTTTACTTTGGTTTAACATTATTTTGTGTCATTAACGTGTGTTGGTTACTAATTGGGTTTGCAGTTTATTAAGTCTCAGATTGCTTCTAGTGTTGTCACAGCTTCCTGTGCCTTATTTGGTTTTAAATTAGAAAAATAAAGTCTATCTTTAATTGTAAAAGATTGTATAAATAAAATATATTTTGTACACTATTTCTGTTTCATCACTTTAAGCAAGACCTACCTATGTACATTTAATTGGGCGACCCAATGGCCACTTGATGTTATTTTTAGAGGTCTACCAGTTGGTTTAGGACAACGTCCTCTCTCACAATCCGGGTCACAACCCGGGTTCTTCCCCCGTGGTTCATACGTAATTAAAATGAAATCTAAGGCTATTCATTCTGACCGCAGCTGTCTGCACGGTGGTCTGATCCAAGATGGCCGCCCTCTAGGCATGTCGGCTAGCGTCCAATGAGGCGTCTACGTATATAATGTCTATGGGTGGACAGACTCAAACCCAAAACAATATGGCTACCAAAATAACTGAATGATCAAAAAGTTCCATTTGAACATGTACAGTAGTCGCTTTTCCCCCTATTTATTGAATTTTGATATTAGTTGAGTAAAATATTGCTATATATCTTGATATTGCAACATACATCATGTAGTGTCTTTACTACTTTGATTTATTGACTAGAGGTCTGATTTAATTGTTAATTGGATGAAAATAGGTGATTAAAATGACATTTTTCTTTAATGAAGCTAGCCATTAAACTAATATGCAGACGTAAATCTTTGCCTCACCTGTTGGATCAAACTCATGTGTGAGGGAGAAGGTGGATTTCCCATTCTTTGGTTTTTTGTCCGTAAGGTCTTTGCTAAGATGGCTTGGGGTCCTGTAGAGACAAAAACAAATAAGAATGTGAATTTACTGATAAATCACTACGATTTCATACTTCTAATTGCCTCTCGATATTCCTTTTAAAAAAAAATATTTGCCTGATGATGTGAGGAGCTGTGGCTCTGTGTTTTTTAATCCAATCTAAGATGAATGAAAGCTGCTGTTCTGTCAGACCAGCACAGTCAATACG